AAATTTTTTTGACGGTCAAAAGAGCCGTGAAAAGTCGAGAGGGAAAGAGTAGAGAGATAAAGTAGAGAGATAGTATGAAGGGCAAAAACGTAATTGGGGGGGGCGGTGATTAGTAAAAGGGGGGCGGTAAATAGTAATACCCTCTTTTAGAAAATATCAGTAATAATGTGCATTTATCAAATAATAATTTACACTTTCTTTATCATTATTGTGTATTTGATATCTTTTTATAAATTATAGATTAGCCCCATGTGCCAAATTGAAATTTGATATAAAAACTCTAGAATTGCAATTAAGTCCTCAAAACTTATCAAATTCACAAATATATGCCAAAAAATTCCTGCAACTAAATCTGTACAATTTCTATCCCATCCAACAGCAACAATTTCATCTCATCGTGAATGTCGATTGGAAATCGCCGGCCGTCCATTAACGAGTTCACTCCAGCAATGACGACGGCGGAGGTCCTCACGGTTCCCGAGACCATCTTGAAGGCGTCCGGTAGGCCGGAGGTGGATTGCGCGGCTTCGAAGTGGCGGTATTCTGCCGAGCGGTGTTGCATCAAATCAGACAGCACGTTACCGGCATGAAGCTTCATGATAAGGCTGACGGCGAGCGTCTCCGGCGACCATTAATTTTGCTACGGACGGCAGAAGCGGTTCTACTAGTTCCGGTCTTCTCTGTGGCCGACGGCGGTCTCGTGGTGGCAGACGACGAATGTGAGCCGACGGGCTAGTGGTGATGGGTTGTTACCGACTTACCGGCCCCGCGTGTGTGTGTGTGTGTGTGTGCGGCGGGTGTGTGTATGATTTGCAGTGTGTGTTTATTGTGTTGGAGTGAGAGAGATATGTGTTGGGTTGGGGTGGGGTCCACCTGGTTAGGTTTTGTAATTGTTTAATGACCATTATATCCTTAATAGTTGGTCAATTGCATATATTTGACCACTGTGTTTAAATATTATCATAATGCCATTATATGTTTGGATGTATTATTAAAGTTTGACTTCATCATAACCACTTATTTGCTAGATCCAAAGGCATACATTCATTCTTATTTCTTTCACTAGGAATCATTCTCATATAATCCCTTACCTATATATACATATATATATCCATTTTGCTATGAAGTCAACCGTTGACTCTATAGTGAAACTAACTTTTATATACAACCTTATATATGTATAGGATTGTGTTTAAGTGAGAATGATTTGAAATCATCCACTTACCGTGGGACCCACCGACCCACTCTTTCACACACACAACACACAATCAGCGAACACACAATACACGCAGCGCACACACACAACACACACATGCGTCCCCGTCGGAAAATTCACGGCAGTTCCGCCCCCGGCGCCTATATCACTTCTTCAGTAGATGCCGCCCACATTAAATATATGCCTATATCACTTCTTCAGTTGATGCCGCCCACATTCGATGTCCGGTCATCCCCCGCTCGCGAGTAGAACTCGATTCCGCCTACAACCGAGTCAAGGTGAATGTCAAGACCCCGCCTCCGCCGCTGAACAAGCAATCATCGATTCCAGATCTGATCGCTGCGAACTGTTCCGCCGTCGGTGCAAGAGCCACAACCGATGATGGGCTGTAACAAGTCTCCTTCAACCTTCCGATTAATCAACACAAATTTCGAGCGAACCCAACAAGAATGCGAGCCCAACGTTCTAAATTTCTACCAATTTGCTCACCAAACAAGAAAATTAAAAGAAAAAAAGTGTGCTTAATTCAACAAAATATGCCCCCGCCCGTCAATCGTCCAAACCCTAAATCGTAATCCGCCGCTCCCCGTGCTCACCGTCCGCCGTCCACCGGACAATCAAAATCCACCCTACTCCCAGTTTTCGCAGCCAAATCCCCAACCGATTGACGGGTTCGCAGCGGCGAACTTTTAGACGAAGCCCGAGGCGACAGCGCTCCACCCCCGCTCTTTCAAACGGCGGTCGACGAAGAGCTTACAAACGCGATCATCACGCTCGACGAGCATCTCGGCGGCCTGCAAGGTACTCAACTCTCATATCTGTGTTATATATCCCATCTATGTATCTTTTTCTTCCACGGTGCGTGAACCGTTGCGAGAGTTTGTGACAGATTGTGTTTTTTCTTTCTGAGCTCGTGACTGATTGCTTTGTGAAAATCTGTGAAATTTGTCAACATTAGATGTTAATGTGATTTGTTGATGATTTTTCTCTCTCGTTTTTTTCTTTTGTTTCTTCTATGGCGGGCCCGCCCGGCCATGAGAGGGCGCATGCGCACCTCGTGTATCAGAATTATATTAATAAATCATAGCAGAGCTCTCAAGAGAGGACGCATGCGCACCTCGTGTATCAGAGGCCATATTTTTTTAAAGTACAAAATCTGACTATATATATACGTCCCTTTCCTATCCATTCATCCCCTGAATCTTTGAAGTGTTGAACCATCCAAAAATGAACACTGATACATTGAGCTGGTGGTACAAAAGGTCCATTGGTGACATAGAACAGGTAGTTCTTCCATGTTATATATGTTGTCGTTTATTCCGCTCGTCGTACATTATTATAAACGAATATATATAGTTGAAAGATTAGTTTCAAGTATTTGATGATGATATGTGGGAAAATCTCAAATTTCTAATGATGTTATCGTCTCAGAAAAAAGCGGAAACGGACGTGCAGAGCTACCAGAGCGTGGCACTGATTGTGGGTGTGACAGGCATCGCTGGCAGTGGCCTGGCCGAGACCCTATCCTACGTCGACACCCCTGGCGGCCCCTGGAAGGTCTATGGAGTCGGGCGCCGGGCATGCCCCGACTGGCTCACCACCCTCAACGTGGTCTACGTCCAGTGTGACATCACCAATACAGACGAGACTCGCTCCAAGCTATCCCCTCTCACCGACATCACCCATGTCTTCTATGTCTCGTGGACGGGCTCCGAGGACTGCCAGCTGAACGCCTTAATGTTCCGGAACATTCTCGACTCGGTTGTCCCCAACGCCCCAAACCTCAAGCACCTCGCCCTCCAGACGGGGATCAAGTACTACTGGGGCAACATGGCCGAGATGGACAGCACGAACGAGCCCCACGACTGCCCCTATTACGAGAACCTCCCTAGGCTGAAGCAGGAAAACTTCTACTACGACCTCGAGGACTTGGTGTACGAGTCGGCCCTGAAGAAGAGCACGCTGACGTGGTCCATCCACCGGCCGGCGCTCATCTTCGGCTTCTCCCCCTGCAGCATGATGAACACGGTGAGCACGCTGTGCGTGTACGCGGCAATCTGCAAGCACGAGGGGAGGCCGCTTGTGTACCCCGGGACCTATGTCTCGTGGACCTGCCTCTGGGATGCAGTCGACTCGGAGTTGCTGGCTGAGCACTTTGTGTGGGCCGCGACGTGTCCCGAGGCGAAGAACCAGGCGTTTAACGTGAACAACGGGGACGTGTTCAAGTGGAAGCATCTGTGGGGCGTGCTGGCCAAGGAGTTCGATTTGGAGGCGGTGGGGTACGAGGAGGGGAGAGAGCCGGTTTTGCTGGAGGATGTTATGAAAGACAAGGACAAGGTGTGGGACGAGATTGTGAGGGAGAATGGGTTGGTGCCCACGAGGCTAAGGGACATAGCGGCCTTCTGGCTGGCCGACGTCGTGTTTAGGAATAAGGAGACTCTGTGCAGCATGAACAAGAATAAGGAGTTTGGTTTTCTGGGCTTCAGGGACACAACAAAGTCGTTTCTCAATTGTATCAAGAAGATGAGAGCGTATAAGTTTATTCCTTGACTCGTTAATACATTGTTGTTTGAATGTGTGTGTTTGACTCAATGGTTCGTTGATGTTTGCCATTTTGTATTTTCTTTTTTTCTGGATTTTTGGTTTTGGTCTATAGTTGTGTGTAATAAAAGGGCCCGGGGTGATGAAAATGCAAATGCCAAAAACGAGATGGGGATATGAGATTAAAGTAGGGCATTACTATTTACCGCCCTTTTATTACTAGTCACCGCCCCCTTGGACGATTTTGCCCTTTTCATTCGCACCATGTCAAGCAGCTCAGAGGTAATTTTTTTTCTGTCCGGACGGGAAAGTCTCACGGGACCGGTCGTATCCAGCCGAAAAAACCGGACGGCCCGTAGGGCGTATGGCCGGTTCGGCCGGACGTGACCGCCCGCGCACGTCTTTTGGGGCCGTACGAACCGGTCCTGGTACTAACAGACCGGCCGTACGGCCGGCTTGATGTCCGGTCGCGACGACCGCACGGAACCCGGTCCGTGCGGTCCGACCGGCCGGACATATATTTTTTTTTATAAATAAAATTATTAAAAATCATTTTGTTATAGATTTTAAATAATTTTTGTTATAAATTGAACGTAACATAGTATTATCGTGTTAGAACTAGAAATTATTATATTATAGATTTGATATTATTACGTATAAATTGAACGTTAAATATTATTGTCTTAGCTCTTAGAAATAAATTTGTTATATATATTAAACTTGATCATCTTATAAATTTGACGTTATATGTTATTGTTATAGGAATTAGAAATTATTATTTTATAGACTTGAAATTAATATGTTATAACGTTAGATATTATCGTGTTAGGAGTTAGAAATTAATTATACTTGATTATCTATAAGTTGAACGTTAGATATTATCGTGTCAAGAGTTACAAATTAATTATACTTAATTATCTACAAAGTTGATGTTAATTAAAAATTTGTATGTTGCATGTTTCAATTAATTATTTATATTATAAGTATGCTTTAAAATTATTAAATATGTAATACATTGCAGGTGTCTTTAGAAGATTTTGGAGGAGATGGTGTTGATTACCGTTCCGCTTTCGATACAACTACGCTGTTTATTAGTGATGTGGAGGCTATTAAGGATGCAAAAAGTACGGCAATTCTGAATAGTTTCTTTTTGACTATTTCGAAACACAAAAAACCCGGAAGGCTGAAGATCTTGAAGTGCCATCGAGGCGAATGTTATAGAGGCAAAAACGTAGATATGAATAAAGCTGTTTCGAGACATTCAAAAACGAAAGCGTGCCTGTGCCCTTTTGAGATAAGTGTAAAGCGTGTTGCCAGATCGACATACTGGACGATCCACACGAGTCAAGACGAAACGAAGGGATACCATAATCATTCATTTGCTGTGTATCCTGAGGGCCATCGACAGTCGAGCGGCATAAGCGTGTCATCCAAAAAAATCAT